CTTTGTACATAGCTGTTTTAATGGGCACGCATCGACCAGAATTTCTGCGGTATTCATCCGGTTCGACCGAGGGAAAATAATTACGGCGCCCATTTAAAAACCGGTTCGTTCTACCCCTGCCTTCGTCGTCTCGCGACCTTCGCCTCTTCGGTCCTTTGACGAGCCGCCCGACGACGCCACTTAACCGACCGAATCGACCGGCACAGCGTGGAGAGAAAACGAACAGGAGGACGGACGCGAAATCGCACGAAGTTAAACAGAAACGGAGATGGAAAAACCTGATGGATCGAGTTTAGTAGGTCCACGTTCGAACGAGGCCCCTCTGTGTTCGCGCTATTGCTCTTTCGAACTCGACGAACGTTCGACGAGGGTGTACGACCGTTTCTTTTTCTTCCATTTACTTCCAAACGATTACATTAGTAGAAAAATAGATGTGATACAAACTCCGATCGTTCTCCGACACTGTCCCTGGTTCGAGTCTCCAGAAATCGCGAAGCGTATGGAAAATGCGAGAAACGAGCCTCGAAACGCGTTTTAAGGAAAGGTCGAATTGCTCGTGACAACGTCAAGGCCGTCTACGTCTACTGATCGAGCCTCGTCGAGAAGGAGCGATAAAAACGACCTGTTTACGAGGGGTCCGGTGATGGCGCAATGAGAATTAACAGACAGATTGGTCGGCCGACCGGGTCGACTGGCTTCGCAGCGCAGGCAGGCAAGCAGGCAGACGGATAGGTTAGCCATTAAAGGAGGAAGAGAGCGAACGAGAACGAGAACGAAAACGAGAGGGAGCGAGCAGTAGAACGAGCATTAATCGCAGACGTATTACGAACGCTGGCAAGGTGCCAGCCATTTAAGAGGTCCGAAACCTGTTTCCGGCCTGTATCGCGACCAGCTCTTCTTTCGCGGAGCTTTACAGTATTCGTGCTCGGTACTTCGGCACCGATTTTTTTTGTAACCAGTCGTAACCTTTCAGAACCAGGCTCGAAGAAAGGAACCAAACGCGTCACTCACACACGATCGTCGAAATTGCTGTAGGTACGCCGGATGTCTCTTCTACGCGCGACACATCTGTTCGCGTTCCAAATTGACCGTGCTCTCTTCTTTCTTTCAAACTTTTTCCGGTTCCCCGTTCCTCACAAACATTTTTTATGTTCTTTGTATTCCCCGTCCTTTGTACATCGAGGGAATCGGGTGTAGGGAACACCCGGAAACTATCGCGAGCGCCACACCGATTTCGTTGTTACACGTTCGCTGTCGGAGTGATAACCTCCGAGACTCGTGAGCTATTTGTGGCGAGAAAATCGGGGTTATCGCGACGATACGTTAAGTTCATCGTACCCCAGAAACCTGCCTCGAGCGTTCGCGCAAACGGGAAAGAATGATGCAACCGTACATTTTTCGAAACCCTCTTTTCTCCGCGATCTATATAGAATCGCTGGCCCTCGGTATCGAGGTCTCCTTTGATCTCCCAGGAATGCGGATAAACGCTCGATGCTCGAAACCGTGCCGCAGCCGATGTGACGTCCACGGAACAGAACGAAGGGAAATTTACGGCGCGCGGAGTCGTAATATTTCATGAACGCTTTTAATAGAGGCGAACGCGCGTGGACACGCGTAAACGGTTTTCAGTTCTCGCTTCAAATTTCAAAGTTTGAAGGTAGCCGGTTGGTTTATCGAACGTTAACGCGGTCGAATCCTTTGTTAAAACTGCTTCAGTAGTTGCGAGGCATCGAACCAGAACCGAACGGAGACCGCCGCGCCGACACAAACGCTTTCACCTCGGAATTTTATCGCAAGTTCCGTAACGCAATTTACGAGCGTCGAGTTCGATATTTGCGCACGAGCGAGCGCCGAATATAAGTACTATGTACGGCCACGCGTTAGTACATGTATCTACCTAACCCGACTACCCAGTCACTGAACCATCCACCCACCCATCCACCTATCTACCTACCTACCTACCTACCTACCTAGCTACCTACCTACCTACCCATCCACCTACCCACCTACCGAGTAGTATGTACCGGGGAAGCATCGTCCGTTTCGGGGTGTTTGCAACCCCTTTCGATAAACGGGGCGCCCACTTTCAACGAGCCTTCTCTTCTCTCTTCCCCCCCGACCGTCCCCTACTCCAACCAACAAATTCGTCCCCTTTCTTTCCTTTGTACATAGCGTCGTCGCGTGGCGAACCTGTGCTGTGTGGTAGTTACGATGCACGAGGGGTTGCCGGAAAGGGGTTGTTTCGAGACGACGTTATCGATCCGCTTTCCCAACCCCGTCGCTTCCTTAAAGCGGATCTCTCAGAAATATCCACGCTTCGTTCTTTCGCTTGCCACGCTGCCGGGGTGCCTAGCTAGGCTTCAAGGGGTGTGCGTCGGAAGTTGATAAATTCGGGCGATCTCGTCTAGCGTATATCCGCGAGACCGAGATGAGAGGAGAAGAACGTATATTCGTCGAGGCAAGACCCGGATGTACGGTAATAGCGGGATCGCGCGAAAACCTGGATGCGTCTACGCGTCTACGTACCGCGTTGTCGCGGGAGTCTAATAAAACTGCGAGAGCCAGTGAACGGGGGAAAAGCTGGCGACGAGCCAGCAGTTTTGCCTGCCTACGAACGAACCTACGCACGACTGTAATCTCGCTTTTGATTTCGCGTCCCGCGGCCATCACCGCGACTCACCCTCTCGTCCACCCGTGCGAATCGCGACCGAAATGCGCTCGGATTTTCCCACTCGGCCGAATACTCTTTCGCTTACTCGTGTTCCGAACGTTTAAACCGTGGGATCAACGAGGATTCCGACAGCGCGAGAGAAATCGTTGAAAATCCCTGGTCAGGGCCGCTTGTCGATGTCCGTCCGTGGCCCGTGAACCATCTGCCGCGATCCGCAGCTCGAACCATCGAATTGCACCTGCGTGCACCTCTCTCTATCTCCCTCGTCCTCCTACTTCGTTTGCCCGTTCGTTCCCCTCCGTCCGCAATCCCTGGGGCCACACCGAGCGCGTTCAAAGGTGCACTGCTGGAATTCGACGATCGACAGCTGCTCCTATGGAACGCCTGTGCTTCGATTACGCAACTACCGGGGACCGTTTCGTATCGGGTCGTCATTTAAATCGAAATTCGCCCAGCCAGCATGAATTCGAATTCGATTGCTTCGTCGATGTTTCGCTCTCTATGTTCGTCCTTGTATATAATATATATACGCGTATCTGTGGGTGTTCTGACGATAAGAATATTCGATTCGAGTCCTAAATCCTTCTTGGGTCTTTTCCAATGAGAAAAGAACTCAAATCGTCGAGGAGGCGATAGGGGATCGAATCGCGGCTCAAAGACCATCGCGACGACGAACGAAATAACGTTTCGTAAAAGGTGAGGAAAGTTGATGCTCGTGCTGCGCATTCCAGGATTTCCAGACCGAACGAAGAAACTACTCCGGCAAACTTTCCCTTAACCCGTAAAGTTTGCACGAGACGCGCGTGCTTCGATAACTCGTAACTACCCACTCTCAGACGCCCCACGACGCCCCGCGTTACTTTAGCGTAGTCATCCCCTCGGGAATCGAGGAATCGCGAACCACCGATTTCTTTAACTCGTACTCGTTCTCCTTCTTCGCGATACGTAGAAACGCGTTTACATACGCGCTCGTATTTTCGGCAACGTGTCATCCCATTCGTGTGTACGCTGTGCGCTTATTTTTGGAGGGAGCGAACGAAGAAAAAGGCGAAGAAAAGAGAAAAACGGAATTACGAACGAGCCAGAACGTCTTCAAAGTTCAAAGAAGTTCTCGGTTTGCTTTATTACTGCCTCGCGGTAGAGCGTGGAAAGCAACAACGCGCGATACTTGGAATCTTTCGGTTCCGTCGATGCATGTACTTGTACATCGATTCGAGAATCGATGGACCAACGAAACGATAACGAATAACAAATTTTAAAACATACTCGAAATAATTCCCTTACTTTTCGTTTTTCGTCAATTTACCAAATGTCGAATATCGTATTGCTCACACTGCCTTGTGTACACACCGGGTGCGGCGTGTCGCGTGCCACGTGTCACGACACCAAATCCGATTATCGTTTAAATGTCGCCTCTCGAATTCGGCTCGCTCGTTTCAATTTCGGTACCTAACGCGGGATAAAATCGCGGTTCAATTATTCAGCACGCGACGGAAACCAAATATTCTGATCTTCGATCGACTTACATCGCGCTTATAATTTTAACTCGCCGCATATCCAGGATTAGCCGCTATCCGAATATTTCAAGAGTCGGGAGACAACGACGTGATCGAAAACTAATGAACGGAGGAAATTGAGACGGAAGAAATTTCTATCCAGTCGAGCGAAAATACTAACAATAAGATTTAATAATAAGGAACGCTGCCGGGTCCGTGACAGTGCCGACTATTCTTACAGTTTAGTTGTAAGCGAAGTAAATAAAGTTTTATGTTAAATATAAAAAATGGAGAGATCTTGTTCCTGCCCTTACGAGCTTGATACACCCTTTCCTCCCTCCCTCGTTCCTCGAACCAGAGTTTCGACCAAACGCGGAGAATGAATCTTTTGTTCGCGGACCGGTTCTTCTCGGTTCTTCGAATCGTTGCCGCTCGTTCTACCTTCGACCGTACACACCCTTCGCATCCTTAACCTTTCCTTCCAACTAACCCGTTACTCTATCTCTCTCTTCTCTCTAGATCGCAGCTACGGTCGAGCAGTCGAGCACCGACGAGCTTTGATTCGACCCGATAATTCTATACCCAGTTCCAGTTCCCGTGTCTCCCTTTCTTTCCCTTTCGCGCTACATACTCGATCAATGAACCGTGCAGCGTGTAACGCGGAGTCGAGACCATTCAGTCCTGGGGTCTCGTGGCCTCGACGTTCTCTCGCGACCCTATTCGGCGATCTCGGTTCGTCGACCGTGGCAAAGATGTACGCATACGCGATCGTGATCTTCGCGCCGAACTGGGAATCGATGAACGAGAAAAATTTTTAAATCGTGAGCGCTTACCTCTTCCGAGCTGCGGAACGGGACTCTGTATCCTCCCGGGCGTACTCTGGAGATGGGCGACGTTACCAGGACGTCCTCGAGGCCTTCGTCCAGTTCGCGGCTGAAACAGACATGAAACGCGGTCAGAATCCGATCTGATCCTTCACATTTTTACGCGATGCCTGAACTTTTCAATGACGACGCGTGACAAAAACTAGGGCCGGTTCATCATTTTTTACAGCATATCTAACATAAGTGATAATTCTGATTGTTCTTTCCTCCGCGGAAACTGCTAAACACATAAATCATCCCGATATACATCTCTGTTCACGCAATCTACTTTCCTTACGCTCTACGATCCGCGCCTTCGTCCTTGGTAATCGTAGATAAGCGGTGACGAGAAAAAATAAACCACGGGGAGAGAAGAGTTTGCAGAAAAGCGGGCCACCCCGTATACGCATTCGCGCATAGTATGTACCGACATAAACGAGTTTCCATCGTTTGCGAAGAGCCACGCCGCGGCAGGCGGCAAACGCGTTTACATAGAACGTTCGTGCATACATATGTACAAACGTAGGTAGATATGTGCAGCAGCGCGGCAGCGGTAGGCATGCACGCGCTATGTAGTACGTATGTATATGCGAGAGAGACGAGCCCGGGAGTACATACGTACGCGCGCGTTTCCACGGAGCAGAGTGTGCGTAACGCCAACGGACCGGGAGATATTCCGATCGATCGTACCCGGTTATCTGGCTGCCAACGAGAATTCATTTTCCCTTCCGTACCTCTCTCGCTCTTTCGCGTTCTCTCCCCGTCTTTGTCCATCGCGCGTACCCTTACACCTCCGCCCGACGCTCCTCCTTTACCCCTTTCCTCTCCCGCTGACTCACTGTTTGTGTGTGCGCGCGTTTCGCCTCGTTCCGTTTCGCTCCTCTTCCCACGCGTGTACATACGTACATAATGGATCTCCCGGCTCGCGTACACCGTGGTTCAAAAGCTTGCGCACGCACGTCGACAGGGAAAGGGATTCTTGAATTTTTACTCGTTCACCAAGAGAAATCGATTCGCCTTTCCTTTCCTTCCCTCCTAGACGCGTTCCGTTCTATTCTACTCCGGATATGTTCCACGACCGGGATGCATCAGCATTGTTATCGTAGTCTTTTAATCGTTATCGGTCGCATTTACGTAATTTCGACTAGTCTAATCGTTCGCCCGCTGAACCGACAAAAGCGGTGTCGGTCGTTTATCTCCAACCGAGAATTCTTCCTGCATGGACTCATCGAATCGACGGGAAACGGACGTGCGACGATGTTCTTCCACTGTGCGTATCGTCCTATGATACATAGGAACCACCGAATTTATTCAATGCACGGAACGCCGGCCCGTGTATTTATATACCTACTCACGCGTCTGTCGAATACCGACGATCATAGTCGCTTTTCGATCAGCACGATCAAAATTGCGAGCTAAATCTGTCCATAGAGGAGACAACAGGAACGATTAATAGATGATGAAAAGACAGACAGATCGAGTGAGAGAGAGCCAGGCGATCGCGGTCTATTTTTTCGACTTCTCGAAGCCGATCGATGCTCGCTGATAAGGAAATAGCGGTAAACTGGTCGAGATTCGACTCGCATTAGGTGGTAACCAAAACGAATCTTTATTCGTAAAACACTTACGTCTTGTGACGCTGGGGATGCGGAATTGAAACCAGTTCGAACCGGTCACCGTGTTGCACCGTGTTTATCCATGAAAAATGGCCGACCGACGCGCTTGACTTTCACTTTGCACAACACACGATCATTCGACCGGGTTACCGGTCAATCGAAACAGATGCATAGATTACTTCACGGTAACTCGCGAGAATGGCGTACACGCGTTTACTCGATGCGAATTAAAATCGTCTTCCGGTCAGCGTCGCGATCATTTCCGACGTTCATAACTGCAAAGTGGTTTCTTCACGATTCCTTCTATTCCTACGTCGACGACGACGAAGACAATCCGAAGACGATCGTTGCCAATTTCGACACACGACCCCGGCGATCTTGCCCGATTCTTAAACGCGTTCACGGCACACGATGGATGGAATCGCGTGGCAATATCCGACGATAGGATTCGTTAATCGTATCGGAACGCGAAGCAGCGCGACGCGCGACGCCGCGTCGCCGTTCGGGTGCACTGCGTTTGGGAACGTTGCCAATTCGAGGCGCATTTCACTCGTATCACTATTCGCGTATCACTCGTATCGGTTCGCATTTATATTTATCGCGCGAATCACTGTTCGCAGACATACGCGTACGGATTACGCGCGCGCGTATGCGCGACTTTCGTAAGAGCACATGCACCCAGCCACTGTTTCGAGGTCGAACCGGACTGCGCCACGAAGGAAATATGGCTGATGGCTAAATTCTAACACCAGTCGCCGCGTTCGGAACCCGTGGTGACCAACGCTAGAGCGCAATATTCCCGATTCCGGTTTCCAACCACGTCCGAGCCTCCGCCCATGGTCGGCGATCCGAAACGCGAGATTTCGATGACGCTCAGTCGCGCGGGGCAAACTTCCTTGCGTCCCGGCCACCGATCAAGTACGACGGATCGCGAAACACAATGCGACACTGCGCGAATAACCGATCTCTTCCTCCGGTCAGACTCGATCAGCCGAAAGCGTGTTTCACACCATCACCGTGTTGCACCGTGTTTATCCATGAAAAATGGCCGACCGACGCGCTTGACTTTCACTTTGCACAACACACGATCATTCGACCGGGTTACCGGTCAATCGAAACAGATGCATAGATTACTTCACGGTAACTCGCGAGAATGGCGTACACGCGTTTACTCGATGCGAATTAAAATCGTCTTCCGGTCAGCGTCGCGATCATTTCCGACGTTCATAACTGCAAAGTGGTTTCTTCACGATTCCTTCTATTCCTACGTCGACGACGACGAAGACAATCCGAAGACGATCGTTGCCAATTTCGACACACGACCCCGGCGATCTTGCCCGATTCTTAAACGCGTTCACGGCACACGATGGATGGAATCGCGTGGCAATATCCGACGATAGGATTCGTTAATCGTATCGGAACGCGAAGCAGCGCGACGCGCGACGCCGCGTCGCCGTTCGGGTGCACTGCGTTTGGGAACGTTGCCAATTCGAGGCGCATTTCACTCGTATCACTATTCGCGTATCACTCGTATCGGTTCGCATTTATATTTATCGCGCGAATCACTGTTCGCAGACATACGCGTACGGATTACGCGCGCGCGTATGCGCGACTTTCGTAAGAGCACATGCACCCAGCCACTGTTTCGAGGTCGAACCGGACTGCGCCACGAAGGAAATATGGCTGATGGCTAAATTCTAACACCAGTCGCCGCGTTCGGAACCCGTGGTGACCAACGCTAGAGCGCAATATTCCCGATTCCGGTTTCCAACCACGTCCGAGCCTCCGCCCATGGTCGGCGATCCGAAACGCGAGATTTCGATGACGCTCAGTCGCGCGGGGCAAACTTCCTTGCGTCCCGGCCACCGATCAAGTACGACGGATCGCGAAACACAATGCGACACTGCGCGAATAACCGATCTCTTCCTCCGGTCAGACTCGATCAGCCGAAAGCGTGTTTCACACCTCTTACACCTTTCTCACATTCCTCACATCGTTATTCTCTCAGCTCTTCCTTTTTTGCATCCGTCGTTCCAGTCGCGTAGCGACCAACGCGTCGTCGCCGCTGCGGTACCCGTCCGACACTTTCTATTTCTCGCTCGTTACCCGAAACCAGCGAAGAAGCCGATGAAACCGACGGATAAACGTCGACGCGGAAGCATCGCACTCCTCGACTCGTGCGCGGCGATACGACGCGACACGATAAGATACTATGCGGCGACGATGGGAAATGCTCCCGGGTGGGGTGGATCGCGAGGGTGGGAACGCGTTCACCCTCGAGACAACGACGACGGCGAGTCGACGAGTATAGGGGCTAGAGACGAAAACGCACGGATCGACCACGATACGCGCGATCCGCAGTGCTGCCGTCTACTGGTGCTCCGACCGACGTCCGATATCTTGCTCGTCCCCACCGAACCGGGTGTCGTACCCTGCCCCCGCGACAGCACCCAAGCCTAGACGCGCCGTTACCCTCCCTCGCCCGGTTCGCAACGTTACTCTCCTCCCGCCGCGCCGCGCCGTTACCCTTCTCGCTCTACGCCGCTCCTTCCCGCCGTTCCCTTCATCCTCGTTCGAGCCCCGTCAAAGAGACTGCACGCGGACGCATGTACAATCGTATACTACATGTATACCTCCTACATACTACAGAACGCTACGAAAACCGAGACCTACGATATCGCTGTATCGCTTCCTCTATGCGTATCCGATGAATCCTTCCCATTCCTCCTCATGCCGTTTCTCTCACGGCTTCTTCTTTTTCTTTTCGTTACATCTTTTTGTGCCCGGTCTTCAACGACCTAAACGCGTCAAGTAGCCATTCCGATGCATCGAAACGATCCGCATTTCCAGTTTAACGACCTACTAAACGAATTTCCTCGCGAGTATTTTTAGACCGCGAATTCGAAATATCGAAAACCGATTCGATGATCAATGTACAGACAGCAGATACACGAACGGAAATCGAGCGTACGCGGAAACGCGTCTCGAATCGTCGCGTCGTTGTACCGTGAACCAAACGGCTACTACTACCTTTGCATTTACAAGGAATTTATCGGCAATCGATGAAAGCGCGTATGGCTCCTTCTGACGCGGTGCGACGGAAGAAGATGTATGTACGTATACCTCGATCGTTCACGAAGAATTCGTTTGGCTCGGGTTCGAAATTAGGAACGCTTTAGATCGAAACGAGAAGTCACCTTCGCGATCGGGTTCGGGGCGAACGAACGTGACGAGACGATCGGGCAATTGTGAACGAAAGACGGAAGATAGGTATGTAGGTAGGTAGGTATGCAGGCATAGGCGGATAGGTAGGTAATACTGGTACATATGAATATGTACGCGTGGGTGTAGGTAGGCCGAACGAGGAACGAGAGTCACGGCGGGTTTATTTATGCGGTTTACGAAGTATCGATCTCGCGCGTCATTCGGGAGTAGTTTGGCCAGCGAGGAACTTTGTTGTTGGGAACTGAAAGTTTCCAACCGGGGAAACTCCGGCACAAACAGGTGGAACGGGCGACGAAGGCCTTCTGGCGCCAGCCGATGCCACCCGACTCTCTCCGTCCGTGCGTGTAAGTGTGCAGGGCGCTGTACGATGCACGAGACACACCGACACAGCGTTACGTTCAATGTACGAAACATGCAGCCGAACCCTCCGCGTCGACGATATCGAGAGAGACGGGGCGCGTGGGAGGGCAAGCAAACGACTCTCCACCGACGCGAGAGATTCGAGGGGCAATCGCCAGGGTCAACTCCATCCATCCCCGGATGCCGCGGAATTAACATGACGCGATTGCCCGATACGTAGAGGTACTCAGCCTTCGCTGGAAACGACGAACCCCGGAATTGTATCGCGCCACGCGAATGGGTAAGTACGAAACGAGATGCCCTACCCTCGAGCGACGAAGAATCTGCCTAGACGACGACGTTGCGACGTCCGTTTACATTACATCGACGTGACAAAGGAAAAAGAAATAGGTGGTGACTGAGTCAGTTAACGACTCGCAGCCTCGGCGAACAAACGGGATGGTGTGGGCCAACGAGGGTGGAAATTGGCGAAAGGGCGGAAAGTTCTAGGAATCCCGGATAGTTGACCAACGAAATTAGCCGATTCGGTGGTCGATGTTTCACGTTTCCCTTTACGTTTATCGAGTTCGGCCGCAGGCAAGGATGCGTTTCGCGCCAACCTCCAGCCAGCCAGCCACCCACGGCAGCCACCATCCACCATTGCCGTCCGTTCTCCCACCAACGTGACCTGCCCGAGAATCGATACAGCTACCGACCGCCGCCCCTGCCCCCACCTACTTTCCACGTTACGCACCCTCTTTTCCCATTCTCTACCGTCGCGTCCCGTCGTCGATTCCCATTCTGGGATCGCAGCCTAACCCCGGCTTTTCCATCCTGCTCTGCGTTTCTGTTTCTGCCGCTCCGACAGCCCCGACCCTGCGTTCTCCTTTCTCGTCTCCCTTTCACCCTCTTCCATCCCTGTTTCATTCCGATCCTCGTTTCTTTCCCCGCTCGTCCAGCCGAGCAACCCTTCCACCACCGCTATTACCGGCCACCCACGTGCCGCGCTTTCTTCGAACTACCGCGGTGCGGACTCGGCCAACCACCCGCCCCTCTATCGTCGGGACGACCCTCCAAAACGGCCGGATATCCAGCCAAGTACCTACGCTTATACAGACGCGACGAGCTCGATGAAAATGGTACCCACAGTAGATTCTCCCGCGCTCGAGTAACGACAAAAACGATTCTGTTCGAACACGCGACGCGAAACGAATACATTTTCCACCGAATCACGATTGAGAAAGTAAACTAACCAATGCCGTGGAAAACTAGGTTCGTCCTCGACTTCGAAATAGACGAGGAAAAATTGTCGTCTCCCCTAATCGCTCCGAAGCGATGCGCGACAAACGATCATCGCCGCAAAGCACACGTACATAGGACATACTACAGAGACACAGGTATAGGCAATGCATACCAGTGTACTCGGTGCACAGCGATTTAATAATAGAATAGAACGGAATTGAATTTCACTCACCGCAACGAGGGCGTGCGCCAGAGCAGTCGATGACCTCGACCTCCTCGGTGTCATGCCGACGACCTCGCCTCTCATGATGCTCTCGACGACTGCGGAGCAAAGGACGTGCGTTTGTAACGTGTCCTGGGAGAAACGCGACCAAGTACGGAACGTTTCTCAAATAGTTCCTTCTATCGGACGGCGAACCAGCGGATCGACGGAAAAGGATTCGATGGATACGGTGATGGTCGTCGCCCGATCGACGATAAATGCGTAAACTTACCTCCGTCGCCGATCAACCGCATTTGTACCAAGCCGGGATCCTCGTTGTGATCCTCGAGGACAGTGTCGTCAGTGACGGTCAAGTCCTGAAACAAAATCGTTCGCGTGCATCGAGCCTTATTTACTCATTTACACGCATACGTGTGTCGCGATCCGCATCGAACGGAGCACAGATACGAATCGATCGACGCTCGACGGAGATGGTAAAATTCGTTCGAGGTTGAAGGTCGAAAGCGAAAGTCACGTTGCGAAAACGTTTCGCGAACTGTGCAACGAGACAACGGCAAGCGATAGGCAGTATGTACATACATACGTGAAGCGAGAAAACCGTTCGATCGATGAGAGGGAATCGGACTTCGCTGCGGTGCACGAGAGAGGATGTCAAAGCTCACCTTGGTAGACTCGTTGTAACCAACGATGACGGCGGTGTACCATTGCGTGGTGCCCTCGGCCCGGTACACTTCTACCCTGAAACCGACCAGAACGCTCGGCGTGGTCAACAGGATTCTCTGCCCATCTTGCATCTCTGCCCATCGTCTCACGGCGTTCGCCCACGGTACTGCGATCTTCGCCATGTCCCAGTCCTGCTACATAAAAAGAAACCTCACGCTCAGCATTCCGTGTTTCCCATCCAAGAGCGCTGCAACGTGCGTATGACATGACATAGACGACACGATAACGCTATTAATACAGAACGACAATAATTATAACGCCGCTGTCATTGAACGCGTATCACGCGAGTAGTCTCGCACGCAGGATTTTCCTCTTTGTCGTCGGTTATTCGCCTCGGATGCGCGCGAAAACGAAAAGTCGAATAGCGACAGTCGATTAACCGAGTAGCCGAGTCGTCCATTGGAAAAGAACGAGGAGAAAGGAAGAAAGGAGGTCGGTCGGAGGAGAATAAAGGGAAAGACAGAAAGGTCGAAGTTTGCCAAGAATCGTCGGACGAAACGAGAATACGTTGGCGCCTCGCTTTGGCCGCACTCCAATGCTCGCATCGCATCGGTGCGACGTGGACGTCGGCGACGGACGACTGTCGACGGGAATTACCAAACCGGTAACGAACGGGCAGACGAGACCGATTCCACATCGGATCCACGCTTTCGTTCCGCTTTTCCTATGGGTCGGATCGGTGCAATGAGCTTTGACGATCCCGAAAGAATTCGTCGGTCACGCTTACAGTTCAAGGTTATCCAATTCCCGAGAGCACCTTTCGTCATCCGTCGCCTCACTAATTCCCCCAATTCCAATCTCACCTCATTTTTTTTATCAGGATTCTTGTTCTGTCGTGACGAGAGACGACTATGGCTATGATCATCGGAAATCGATAATCGAACACACGTGTAATCAACGAAGAGAACGCACGAGCAATTTCCAGTGACCTGAATGCCGTTCGGAGCATTATTTTTACCGTCTTGCTGCATCGGGCTAATTTTTTCATCCCTTTTAACATGCGCGGCTCTGGCGCCACGGTGAAGTTCAACTCCGAACACGGTCACCATATAAATGCCTACACCTATCGTAGATAGACGTTCACTCGCGTTAGAATCCGACCACCGTCGAAGCGAAGACGTCGTCGCGAAAGGACAAGATCGACAGGAAACTTTAGGGTCGATCGTGTCCAGCGGAACCGATTCTTCGACGCAGCGCAGTGGTCTCCGACACGCAACGCGAAATTGGTAACTCGAAACGTATCGAAGCGGAACAGACGAAATATCCGGTGAAACCTTCCGGTCGGGCGCGGTCTTCGCGCAATTCGTCGCTCACGATGGCGCGTGAACGACTTACAGTTTCTCGCGAACCGGGAAACTTTTAACGGTAAAAGTTCCGCGAGTTTAATTACTTGGAAACAATTCCCCGCGTCTCCGCTTCTGCTCGTTTCGTGCAACTACGTTAGTAGGTATGTAAAAACTTGAACTTCTCGAACTTGATCGATCTCTACACGCGCTTGCGTCTATTTCCGATCGAATCGTCAATGTGAACAGATATTTCTGCTCGTCGGTCGACTGGAGTAGAGGTAGCGTAGGTGGTACTAGACACCGGAAATTTCAAAGCCTGGCGTGAGACGTGGTATGAGATCGAACCATAGCCGTATCGATGATATGATCGACAGTTTCCGAAAGAGATTAGCGTTAGACGAAGAGGAGCTACCAAATTCGCGTGGGATCGGATTCCCGAAAGCTCGATAGCCTCGAAACTCGGGAACGCATTTCGTCTTCGTTGCGGCTCTAACGAACCAAGTTTCCAGTTTATGAACCGTCGCCAAGTGACTGCTTCGACGTCGCTTAGGAAACTCGCGTTGAACCAAGTTTAAATTTAACGGGGCAACGATCTCCGCGAACGAAGGCTGCAGGTTAAGACCGTCGCTATTAACTCCTCCCGTATCCAAGCATCCAACCCTGTACCTGGTACATATTTGTTCGAGATCGAAATTCGCGAAGAAACGGTAGTGGTAGCGATTACGAATACTTGCCAGGCCGATCGAAAGGGTGAAAGCAACCGATAGATACTGACCGTGAACGGCTTCAGCTTCGAGTAGTCGACGAAATCCAGTCTTCGATCTTGCATGAACTCGAGGGGCATCGTGTCTTCCGGTAGTTCCGCTCGCGCCACCAGCGGATAAAACGTCTGAAAGGGAGTTCGAAATTGAAGGAACGAAGCAATAGTTCTCGCTCCGCTGTCTTTCCGCTCGACGGCCCACCGACGGGAACAGTACACGGCTCATAATATACATGACTAATGAGTATACGTTACATAAGTAGAGTAGAACCGATCAATCGAATCGCGCGCGGTACGACTTTAAATACTAAACTGGAGCCGGCCCATCCAAGCTCGGTTTACACGAAGGAAAACGGTTTCTCGACCGTCTATTCGTAACTGTTTTCGAGAAACGGGACGTAGGCATGTACGCGGCGAGCATCGGCGAGCAACGACGGCGGGACGAGACCGAGGAAGTAGGTATAAGTACGCTAGAGAGTAAACACGAGACGGAGCGGAGGAGATAAGACAGCCCGTTCGGTGACACTTACTAGAGCAGGCCAAGCGACGGTATTCGCGACTGCGGTTGCACCCCTCGGGGATTTCCCGTTGACACGATGTTGCTGGTGGTTTTGGTTTTGGTGTTGATGGTGGTGATGGTGGTGGTGGTGGTGATGGTGATGGTGATGATGGTGGTGATGGTGGTTGTGGTGATTGTGGTGTTGTCGTTGGTGGTGGTTGTTATTCGCGCGATTGCGATGATCGACGGCGACGAGGCTGGCGTGTCTGGGATCGGCTCGCTCGGCCCAACACAGACCCTTTTCCACTAAGAAAAACGAGTATACTGCGTCTCTGTGCGGCGACAGCCACTCTCTTCTCTGCCATTCGACATCGTCGTACTCTACGAGGATCTGTAAGAAAGACGTTCGTTCACGTACCGCTGGTCAATTCTTCCCTGTCCTCGAGTCGTCCGGCAACCGACCTATTCGAACGCGTTCTCTGTTTACGCAACGGTCCGCTACTGTGCATCCATTTACTTTCTTTCGAATTCAGCATCGCACGTGAAGCTATTTAGCTACTCTATTCTACGCTACTCTATATACATCGTTCTATTATTGTTATGTAGTCTGATCTACGGCGAAGCTTCATCCGCGTTCAATCGTGTTTTAGTAACATATGTAGAAGTAGTACGTGTCAACTGTTTGGGTGCATGATTCGAACGTAATTCGTGTTACGATTCATAAGATAGTTTCTACATGAACTCCGAGCACCGGAAACGTACGCCATATTCTAACGTAAACAGCGGGCTTGGCGCGGACGAAAGCGCGAGGAGAGAAGAAGAAAAATGGATCGGGAAATCGATGGAAACAGACATTCTTTACGCGGCCTTGATTTCATTGAACTAAACGCGATGGAACAGGGGGCAAAGGACCAAGAGGACAACGGAATACGAATCCGATAAAAGCGCGGGGAATAAGAGGCTCAAACGTGGTTCACTGGTTCGAAATCCGTTCACCAGGCGGCGATATCTGTCGGAGTGGGGGATCGGTAATGGCCGCCGAGCGATTCGAAAGCTCCGCCTCTAATAACCGTACCGTGCGGCACCGCCCGATTTCGTTTCCAAGGCAACGAACTGCCAGCCATTTTGTTCACCCGACCTACCGTAACAACCTAAATACTCCTACGTCCTACGGCCTTCTCCCACCAACCGCTGCGAGCTTTGACTCGAGAGTTCCACTTTATGTAGCTATAGGTGTTTCATGTACGAATACATAATGTACTGTTTAGTTCCAAGTTCCAAGCTTGGTTCCGCTCCCCCAGACTCTTATAGTTCGATACTTCAAAAGAACTGAATTCAAAAAATTGAAGCGTAGACACGGATCGCGGGCAGAAACGAGAATATACATACACACATACATACATACATGTATACACGGACGAGCCCTCGCCGAAACGTCATCCTATTTCCCTGTGAATCACGACTGTCACGAGTGGGTCGACGAACATGGGTACATACAAATACAGTTACGTACGTACATACGTATGGGCGAGGAACGGTGAATACCAGTGCGCATATTTACAGACAAAAGATCTTTTTTGTGTGTTTCGCGACGCGGTAGCAACAGCGTTATACTCGTCGCTAGGTATCTGCTTCTTTTTCCAATGCACCGAGTCCCGTTTCTTCCCTCTCTCTTCTCCTTTCCACCATGTTTTTCGTTTCCCTGTTGTCCCTGTTTCGCAGCCGCGCGCACACTTTTCGTAAACTAGGCTCGGCTCGAGCGTGTATTTTCGCGGAACTAGGCCGCGTGAAGAGGAACGTGGTTGATGGAGAGAGCGAGCGAGCGAGTAGTAAGTAAAGCCGAATAGCAGCGTGGTTGCACGCGGTGACCCCTTTCCAACCATCGACCATCTATGTATCATTTATCGCTTCTCACCTGTCTCCTACCTGTCGCGTCCTTTTCATATTTATTCCCTTACCGATCGTCCGACCATCGTGCTTGGCAAAAAGGAAAGCGAAAAAGAGACAGAGAGATGTTCCCTTCTATATCGCGTACATGCGTGTCGCGTGGCTATGTATAAGAATGCCACCACCGGAAGTTAGAGGCCACTGCCTGACCTTGCGGCAGTTGCTCGGTTTCAACTCGGACTAGCAGCATAACCCCCTTTAATACTCTATCGCATCGTGAGTCCCGAGAATCTGAACGAACGCGTTTATGAAACAGAGAAAAACAGGTTTTCCTCGGTTATACATATTTCTGCGACTATCGTCTAACGCGAATAAGTAGTCGTTCTTCGAATAGTATCGTTCGCGGTGTACGTATTTAGCATCTGTATAAAACTCGGTGACCGCAACGAAAACATGTGCGTCGTACGTTTAACAAGGAGAACGTTTTCCCAAACTTATCAGTGATCATTACCAGCTATTGGAGAAATGAGGCTAGCGAGACCGAAACGAATGAAGAAACCGAACGGAACATCATCGGTCACGGATGCGAATACAGACCCCTTTAATTGGAACGGATCGAAACCACAACGCGGACAATTCAAGCCGATAGCGCGATACATAGTCGTTCGATGCGACGTTACACGTGACTAAAATGATTCTGAACCTGCATGCACACATAGAAAATACGTAGGTTCAAGTGGTGGTGATGCATGGAAAGCATCGAGAGAGAGAGAGAGAGAGAGAGAGAGAGAACGTGCTATATTTTTTATGTTTATAGAGATGTAGGATAGAGAAACAGTTTTGTTCGAAATCGATAGACGATGTAGCAAAGCACAGTCCCCTACCGACCCTATTTTTGCGCGTTACTCTCTTAAGATGGCCCTATTCAAACCGCGTGGCCACATTCCGATTCAGAATTGAACCCCGACCGGTACAAGAGCAATTTATCGATCTCGACGCAGCCCTTTGACCTACATGCGAAACCGTACTACCATCCCCCGCGCCGCTCTTCGTTCTCTTTTCCCCTTTTCTTTTTATTCGCGCACGAATGCGCGCATCTTCCCTCGGCACCCTTTCTCGGTCGTCGTTCTTGCATGAATCGCGACTCTTCGTACAGCCAACGTTCTCGTTTTCGCGAGGCTATTATCTCTTCGCGAAGCTTTTTACATTTTCATAACGATCTCTCCCCCCTTTACCACGGCTCTCGTTTCGACTCTCTTTTTTCGCCGTATCCAAGTCTTTCGACCGACTACAATTTCTATTCGTTTCGAGACCATGATTCCGTTCCACGGAGGTACTGATTAATTTCCGTAAATATTTATGCCCATCGGCAGTTTCAAGCGCAATTATTTGTTCTACGACTACGCGCCGAACACTGTTTGGGTCATCGAAAACGTTAGCGATCGACGACGGTGCGCTGGTTGGCGAATTGCCTGCGGACAGTACCGAATTCGTGTCTTTCTACCTCCTACCTACGTGTTACGAATATCGTAGATAACCGCAAAAAGTACCTCCCGTAGAACATGCACGATATAAAGGTATGCGCGCACTCGCCAGGCACGCGTATGCAAGTACGTGCTACTTGCCTTTTTTGGTTTTCGATCCGAATACCAAGCCGAGTCAGCCGGGTACGAAAGCGCGTAAAGAGCCCACAGGAAAGGTAGATTCGAAGAGAAACTGGAGCGTGCGCTTTTAACGCACCGCCGCTTCGGACATTTCGTTTTTGTCGGCGAGAGACGCCACGAGTTTTTCGATCCATTCCCCGCACCGGTACTTGCTCGGCTTATTTAAAGCGAGATAGACACAAGTACCTTCACGAGATATAGATCAGAGTTGGGAGATCCGACGATCGAATGTAAGCTACGAAGGGCACACGAGCTTCAACTTGATAGTCATTTATATGTAACAATTGAAACAAAAAAGAAAGACGTATCAACGTCCGTAAAAATAACGCTCGTGTACCCCGGCCGAGATCTAAAGAATAGAAATTGGACGACGAGTCGTTTGAACGGTATGCAAGTGTAGGGGATGCATGCGTCAGGGTCATCGACCCTTATCCAGATTCACCGTAGCGCCCACGCAACTGTCTCGTATCTCTTATCTATATGTATACGCAAACGTATGTAATCGTGTTGTGACGTAACACGTGGCGCATAGACTACTGACGTATTATACATATGCATGCGTCGCGTAAATACTTATCGTACGTATAATATTAACGCGTCTACCGTCGTATCTGCCTACGCGTAGAAACATAATATGTAGATACGTATTTGCGCGATGTTAAAATTCTAGGCCCCGATTCGGTGGCACGTGACTTGGAACTTGGAATGCACCGAGAACCGCGTTTACCACATTCTTTCAACATGCATACCGTATAGCGTATAGTTATAGTATATACGTTCACGCTGTTCCCTCCTTCGTTTCTTTCTCATCTCTTTCGCTTCGCCGGTGGTCCCATGCCGCGAGCCAATAAATACAGCCGCGCGTCGACTCGACGTCTTCATTTTTGAACGCTTTCCAGACAAGGTCGACTAACTGTACTCGCGTACAGACTTAATACAAGATCTTCGACGTTTCGTCCGGTGCATCAAGCCCGATTACCGTAATTCCAAATTACAAGCTTAAGAATATTTATACGTATAGATCTGACAAGACAATATTTATTTTCATACTAGTTTCCGTTTCGAGACTGCGACGGTTCTTTTCGTGTTTCGACTTCTGCTATTTACCGTATGATCTAACAGTATGTATAGAACCTTATATATGTATGTTATGTACCTTAGAGAAACGCATTTCCTATAATTAAAAAGAAATCAGACGTCGGAAGAACAATGCTAATGATAAATA